AAGATTGTGGCTGATAAGGAAGAAAGTATCTTTGGTTGGACAAGTATGAGACAGAGTACTATTATTACATGTCTACTAAGAGCTTACTGCTGACATAGTGTATTTTGGCTAGTGCTAACCTACGGTTCTGGTACTGTACTAAAACAGCCTATTCACAAAGTATTTAGAAGTCATTCAAAGCAGGTTTACTGGAAACAACTGTTAACACTACAAATAATGAGTATGTAAAAAGATGCTTTCAAACAAAATTTGATTGGTTGCATTAGATTTCCAGAATGCACAACAACAGTCTTAACTCTACTCTATTAATGCCAATAAGAAAAAAAATCCACAGCATATCTTATTTTAATCCTCTCTGCTCCCAAAGTTAGATCTGAGACAGTGTTCTCTTCCCTGCTGAGACACCTTATAAATCTTAGCGATTGCAATTAACATACAAGATCCAGTTATCTTTGCTTCTTGCATAGAAAGATATTACACATGGAAACATGACCACTAGCATTTATTTTTGCATTACTGAAACAGTGGATAGCTCTTTGTAGTGTTTAATATTATTTAGTTTTGCATTATTTAGAACTTCAATGTTGAAATCTCTCTTTAAATCACAATGTGCCTAGCAGTATATCAGTTAACAGAAACGGGTCACCTTACCTCTGGAAAACTTGCATTTTTGGTGTAGTGCCCCACTACCTACCATATACACATTTACTTTAGAACTGAATGCACACAGACAAAAGCAAGGAAATAAAATTCTCCTAGTTATGGAGCTGATCCTGAATATTCATTTTCTCTAAAATATTAAAACAGGTTCAACAAAACAAAAGAATAACCTATTTACCTTTTTTTGATACAAGCAGAAATATGTGCCAATACCCTTGGAAAGCAACAAATGTGAAATTCCACTATTTATAACCAAATCAATTACTTTGCAATTTGTGTGATTTAACAATCATATTTCACTGAAAACAAAAATACTTCCATAGTAAAATTGTGTAAGTAATTTTGAAAAATTGTATACATGCTGATTTGAGAAATAAAGTGACGACAGATTTGTCACAAAAACCTACATTTTCTTCTCATAAAACTTGTTACTATAACAAAATAGATGAAAGATTTTTATTTATTTTTTTCTTAACCTTTTAGCCCTTTGAATCAAAAGAAAATTAAGCCAATCAACATAAGATAAAAGGTTCAAGGGCTATTCTGGTGCTTAGTAAAACATTCCAGTATGCAGGGGAAGGATACTAAAAATTTCAGTAGGTCCTCACTCCCAAAGCAGTCTTAGGTTAGCTAGAGAAACTAAGATGCTCTCAGAATTTCTTCAGAATTTAATCATTACTAAAACTCTTTCTGAACTTTTCTATTAAAAACACATGCAGAAAAGAGATTCAAAATGGTCTTTAACAGTTTGCCTGAAGACTGTTCATAGATTTTACAGGCAACAAAAAAAAAAACAAAACAAAAGAAAGCAAGACACTGTACAGTTTTATAACTCGCATTCAAAATCCAATGCGCTACCACCTGTCAAGATTCAGACTGCCATGAAAATTAAGAGCTATAAGAAACACGGAGATTAACAAGTACCATAAATTCAAAGATACTGAAGTAGGCATGTAACAAAGCTAGGCTTCCCAAACTCACAACTTGCTATACAAGAGGAAGGAAAAGGATAAGCATACAGTGGAATATGTTTGTTGGAATGACTAAGCTACCAAACCTTTTAATCACAGTTTATACTAACACCATTTTTTATTCAGCAAAGCTGTGACTACATTCTACCTTTTGCCAATGCAGCATTGACAGAGAGGTATGACACCACCTTTGATATTACTATACTCTCAAAAACTTACACTTAGCCTAGAAAAACTCCTTCATGTTCTATGGGGAGGAACACACACAGGAAACTTGCAGGAACAAGAGTACAGCTGAGAACTTTTCCTGCCTACCAGACACAAAGTTTACGATTTTGGAAATACTGGCCAAGAAACTGGACTCCCAAATAAGGATTCAGTGTCATCCTCTCTGTTGAAATAACATCTTTTTATCTGGTCATTAACTGCTTCTGTTATTATGTCTCTATTATTTGGGAGCTCAGCAAAAGAGGAATTTTTTAAATAGGCATAAACTTAATGAAAAAGGGCTCCAAACAAGTGCTTATTCATTTTCAAAACTGAGGTAGAACAATATTTACTCCTTTAAATAAAAGTTTTCACTTTAACATAAACTAACGTATCTTAAATTCTACACTATTCCAGAATTAATAATTTTATTTGACACAATAAGATACGTGCTATTTCAAAACTGCAAATTATGGAGAAGAAATTAATTTCAGGTCATACAGTTCCTCTACAACTATTTGTCTTCCCCATCTTGGATCTGTTTCTACTTGCAATATTTTTCTGGCTTAAAGGTTTGTACTGAAACAGATAAAAGTGCCTATTACAAAGAGCAACAATTATTAACTGCTGTGAAAATAAACTGGCTTGTGTGTAACTTATGGAAAGCAACAGATGGCCAAGTAGGGGATGCTGAAAAAACGAACATGAGAGGTTTTGTTGCTCACTTGGCTTCTCCACTCCAAAGAATGTAATTAACAGAAACAGCAAGCATTTTTTTGAAGCATTGTCTAACTGCACAGAGGAATTAATCCTGGAAAAGAGAGATCTATCAAATAATTATAAACCACACATGCGTATTTCAAGATGTTAAGCTGCAGTCTTGGAGTTCTTGGTTTTTGCACAATTCTACATTAATGAAGACCCTCCACATTCATTAGGCTCCTTGATACCATTCCAGTTGCCAATGCTGCTCAATCCTTTCCCCTTTTCCCAAAAAGTTCTTCTAAGATGTAAAATCATTTAAGATTACAGGAATCTAACATTCCCACATTCAGCTAACAGGCAGACTTCAAGCACAGATGGAAAAGTAAAGTGAGAGATGAAACACTGGTTCAGTAGGTTCTCTCCTTTACTTCAGAAATACCGAGCAGCACCCATCATCCACTGCTTCATTTGACTAGAATTGCAATGACAAACAAGACCAGTATTTGCTTAAAAGAAAGACATTTCCTGTGGACCAAGTAAACCACTAACAGGTTTAAGGAAAAAAGAAACCTGAGAGCCAAAAGGGAAAGAACAGGTCATTCTATTGGTTTCTTTCCTTAAACATGAACTACCTTTAATTAAAGAAGGATCAATTTACACAACTGACAGTGACAGAAGTACAGCCATACTGACTTTAGGTACACTACTGGATTGGTTACCATGGGGAAAGAAGGTTGTACTGTAGTCAAACACACAAATAGGCTCTGCCATTTTGTCAGCACCAAGTTCTGAACATTAACCGAGAGTAAGATGTTGTAGTTTAGAGACCTCGATAGATAAAGCTTGCATTGCCTCTCGGTAGCCAATTTTTTTTTTGCCAACTGTACTGGTGCTAACAACATAGAAGTTGAGATTCTCCAAGAAATAAATAACTCTTGTACAGTAATTCTGAATTAGTGTTTCCTCAAAAACAGCACATGCTTTAAGTTAGGTACCCAGTTCCCAAACTCCACACATTTGACAAAATTCTCGTCCTGTTCAGCTCCTTATAAAAACCACTGAGCTGAAGGCTAAGTGAATCTAAGTGCACGGTCTCAAGCATTCATGCAGTCTAAGAGAGAAAAGTGGATGAGAATATGCTTTCATACTCTCTGGAATAAAAATTATTGCAGAAAATTATCGCATTAGTCATTAGACTGATGACCAGTTGCATACCAAAACTACCAAGAATTAATTCAGCCCTTTAAATAGCTATGGAAAAGAAAAAAAAAAAAAAAGATATATCATTATGATTTTCCTAACACAACAGTTTGGAGATAAACTTGTAATTGACAATGCTAAACTTGGATGCCCTTACCGTGATTTCATCACTGATGAAACAATCTTCACACACTCTGTAACTCCAGTGACTAAGGAAAAGCTCGGCCTGAATCCTACAAAGACTCAAAACTATGCCATCAAAACAGACAGCAAGCAGATATACTCATACTCCCATCAAGGAAAAATTGTTCACCAACACCCATTGGCAGGATACATGCAGGCAGCAGAAGCAGCCAAACTTGACCTATCCGCACACAATAGAATTTAGATGGTCCTTACAAAAATACAAAATTCCATAACCTGATTCATACACAGAGTCACACCTAGACAGATCCTGGTACATTCTGGATCAAGGCCACTGAAAATATAAACACAAGTGTAATATCCTCCTTCTTCACTGGAAAAACATGGATCCTCATACACCTCAGCCCACAGAGATGTGAATAAATTCTCACAGACTAACACTAGAAGTTAGCAGAAACTCCTCAACTACTTTTGTCTACATAGTATGGAATGAGAAAGACATATGGAACATCCTGAAACATCCAAGTCTTGACAGACACTAGCAATGGAAAAGCAGTAAATGCTCACTAGGACTAGGAAGTCTGCTTTTTAAAATCCCAATTTACCAGCTGAACAAAAGCTGCAGTTCCTCCAATTCCAGTGGAAAACATCATCTTGCTTGAACTACCGGATTCAGCACTCAGAGCCCATAGGAACCTGATATTTTTTGGCCTCAAGTGCCTAAACTGTATTGTCAAAATAAACACCACGTGTCTCCTCCCACTAAATATAACAACTCAGCCTCCAACACAAGAACAAAAATCTGGTTCACAAACCTCCACATTCAATTGCACAGAAAAAAGTACTGAGCCACACTTGGATGACATGGGAAATCTGCACCTTCTTAAATCCTGGCTCTAGAGACCTTGGAAAGGTCAAGCCTCATTTTCTCACTGAGATTTTCAAATTATTTTTTTTTAAGCTAGACAGTTTTCCTGTACTTTTTTTTGTCCCATAGCTCGATAGACTCTGCAAAGGCAGAGGGGAGCTGCTGGAGAGAACAGCTAAAGAAGTCACAGAGTAAGGAAGAGGTAACAGTAAGGTGGAGATATGCAGACCATGTTGTAGCCTCACCTCCTGGATTCGCCTGCGGGCCCGCTGCAGCACCTCCTCGTACCCCTTCTGTCGCAGCTCACTCAGGCTCTCGTAATACTCTTCGGGGTCGTCAGTCTCAGTGAAGAGCACCTGCGAAAGGATCTTCCAGCCGCAGGTATCCAAGCTGTGGACCAAGTAAACTTGCAGTTTGCAGCAGAGGGCATCCATCTCCTGCTCGGATAGCTCCGGGGCTCCAAACAGCACCGTCCACATGCCCGAGGGCTCCTCGGGGAAGGCAGGCAGGTAGGGCTCCAGCTCCGAGTTCACCGAGCACAGCTGCTGGTGCACTGCCCGCAAGTCCTGGAAGGAGAAGAGGCCGGCCCAGCTGCACTCCTCCCCCGCGGGCTCCGCGTCGGGAGCGGCCGGCTCGCCCGCCTGCGGCGGCAGCGCCGGCGAGGCCTCCTCCTTCCCCAGCTCCAGCACTTCTATCTCTTCGGCGGCACCTGCCGCCTCCGGGCCCCGTTGCGGCCTCCGGGCCGGGCTGCCCTTGGCGCGCAGCGGGCTCTTGGGCAGCGCCTCGGCGCGGGGATGCGGGGCGCCCCGCGGCAGCGCGGACTCGGTGCCCCAGGC